TGCCATCTGCGACAAGTTCCGCCGCTTTGACTGCGCGAGGGGCGACGTGCAGGCTTTCCTCGCCGACCTGTGGCGCGACGCCGACGCTAGCTCTGCGACGCTCGAGCATCAGTAAATATCCACCATCATCATCCACCACCACCACCCAGAATGCAGAGCTCGCTTCTTTCTCTCACGCGTTTCTGGCGCACAAGTCAGTTTATTGGCCTCCTCCTCCTCCTCCTCCCTCCACTACCACCACCACCACTTCTTCCTCCCATCCCACGAGCGAGCGAGCGAGCGACAGCAATGACGATGACGACACCATTATTGTCCCGTACGACCCTCGTACCGGCAGCAGGCCTGCGTCATTCTCACGCCCTCTGGCCGGCCATCTTCTTGAGCTGCACGAGCAGCCGCTGCTTGATCCAGTCCTTGTTGAACGGGTTGTACGCCTGCAGCTCCGGGTTGTAACTGCGGGGGGGGGACCACGTGCCATCAGCAGCCGCAGACATTACCTGCCCCTCCGTCAACGGAAAACAGAAGCAAGAAGAAAAAGAAATGCAAAGGGGAGGAGGCACGCGTACACCATGCAGCTCATGTCCACGAGCGAGTCTATGTAGTCGTAGAGATCCTTGATGTCGTACGTGATGCGCGCAGCAGACGGATTCATCGTTTTCAGCTTTTGCTCGTAAAGTTTCAGGATGCCTGCAGCCGATTGAGATCTCGACGATAAGACCTCCAAGCCAGGTGTGGGTACTGGGGTGGGGCGCAAACCTTCCATGGCAGCGCCAACAGATTCAAAATCGCTGTACGTTCTGGTCTTTCTGTCGGCAGTGAACTGGACAAGCACGATGGTGTGCTTTTGCACCTTTTCCTTCCTCGGCCCGGATCGGTGCCCTGCCTGGACGGATCCTCCATGAATGTTGTTAAAATTAACGGTTAGTACAGTTATCTCCATCGCTCGGGTGGTCTGGTATTACCTGCTGCGTCTGGTAAGAGGATCGATTGTCTCGGGGGTGCGACATTACGTTCACTTGATCTTGAAACGAATTGGCCGGATCTACGAAAAAAACTTGGCTTCTTCCCTCCCTGCACCAGAAAGAAAAGGGTAAAGAAATGTTTTCCTTACGTGGGTTTTTGGGCAACCAGCAACTCAACTGGAGCCGGACCTAAATACAAACCACCACGACAACAACAACAATAGTAGCAGCAAATGGAAGACGACGGCTTGCCTGAGGACAACGAATGGAAGCTCGATCCTGAGGACCTCGAAAAACTGGAGCAGATAGGGGGCGGCAACTTCGGAGCCGTGTACAAGGTAACCCTTCTTCCCTTGCGTTCCCCTCCGCGAAGTGGCGCGGACAGGAGTGACGGAGATTGTGGGGGGGGGGGCTACAAAGGGCGACTACGTGGGGACAAGCGTTGCGATCAAGGAGGTGGTGATCTCCGAAGACGACGAGGAGTTTGCACGCAAATACATCGAACGAGAAGTGGCAGTCCTACGGTTCGCCTTCCTACGTAACACATGACTCGCGCCATGCTTTACCGCTTCTCACTTCTACTCTCTCCTACTCTCTATCTACATGGGCCATGTCGTACGACATCGGGGGGGGGGTTGGTCCTGTTGTTGTCTCGTCTTTTGGCCGTTGGTGGGGATGATGGGGGGTGCGCATGGAGTAGAAGCGCGAGGCACCCCAACATCCTCAACTTCATTGGCATCTGCACCCCCGAGAAGACCCAGGACTCCAGTAGGTGCACCCTCTTCTTCTTCTTCTGCTGCTGCTGCTGCCTCCTCCTCCTCCTGTTGCCCCTGGTCGTTGCGATGCAGCAGCCATTTGGGGTGCTTGGGTGGTGTGCCGGTGTACTGAGCTGTCCTCGCGCTCCCTCCTCCCTCTCTGGGCAGAGTCGCGTTCGGGGTTCAAGGAAAGCGTACTCATCGTCACCGAGTGGCTACCCAACGGTATATATCCCGTTCTCTATCTCAACACGCGGCGGCGGCCCGCACTTGCCATCGTGGTGAACGAACGAACGAACGAACGAACGAACGAATGAATTTTATCCCGCGTCGCGACGTGGGATGCGTGCGTGCGTGCGTGCGTGCGTGCGTGCACAGGCAACCTGCACAAGTACATCCGCAAAAACAAGGATGAGCTCACCTGGACCAAGAGAGTGCTGATGGCGATCGACATTGCTTCGGCCATGGCCTTCCTCAACAAGAAGAACCTCATCCACAGGTGCACCTTCCCCATCCTCCTCTTCCTTCTCCTCTTGTCCCGTGCAATGGTGTTGTGTGTGTCGTGTCGTGTCGTGTGTCTGCTGCTGACTCCGCGGCTGTCTTGCCACGCGCAGAGATTTGAAGCCGGAGAATCTCCTCATCACAGAGAACGGCCGCATCAAGATCTGTACGTTATCCCTTAGCGAATGTGTTCGACTTTACGTGTGCTCCCTCCTTCGGGCTGAATTTATTTATTTATTTTTACACTCATTTATATGGAGACCTAAATGTGACCTCTTCTTTGTTGTTGTTGCTTTGATGGCACGCGCGGGCGGGTGGAGGGCAGGCGATTTTGGATTCGCGCGGAGGAAGCCCAAGAAGGACGTGGGCCTCATGACTCTCGCCGGCACCGAGGACTACATGGCGCCCGAGGTCACTCTCGGCGAGGACTACGACGAAAAGTGCGACGTCTACAGGTACACCCACCGCCTCGCACTTCCGGCTGTGCACTCCCTGAGCACCACCCTTTCTTCTTCTTCTTCTTCTTCTTCTTCGCGTGCTGTATGCCCACTGCGACACAAACGTGTCCCTCCGTCTGCGACGCAGCTTCGGAGTTGTGCTCTACGGTACGGGGCTGGGTCCCTTTCTCCCTCTTCTCTCTCCCCCTCTTTGTTCTCTCGCTCTTCCTCCTTCTCCTCCGGAGGAAGAGCGGATGGCATCTCTCACGCCTCTTGCGTGTGTGTCGTGTGTGTCGTGTGTGTGTGTGTGTGTGTGGTGTGCGTGTCGTGACCTGCTGCGCGATCGCGGGTGTGCGCAGAGTTGATTGGTCTCCGTGAGCCTCCGCGGAGAAGCCCGGCAACCGCCTTTGACTTTAGGGCCGACGACATCAAGGCTTTCGTCCCCGCCGATTGTACGACACATACCCTTTCCTTTGATTGGTGGCTGTTGACGTGCAACAACAACAACACCCACCACCACCACCACAACGTGGCTTCTTTGCTCTTCCACCAGGCCCCGAGGAGCTGGCCCAGCTGGCGGCGCACTGCACCCGGTACAGATCGAGCGAAAGACCCTCCTTCGCCGAATCTCTCAAGCGGCTGAAGGAGCTCCTCAAGACCCTCCCTCCGGACGCCGGAGTGGGCGCTGGAAGCCTTGCTTCGTCGGCATCGGCCACTCCCACGACTGCCACCACCACCACCGCCACCACCACGACTGTCGCTCCCGCCGTCAGCGGCGCTACCACGCCGCCTCCTCCGGTGGTGGCGGTCCAGCCATCATCATCGCCCGCCTCCATTCAACCCTCCGGGGGTTCCAGGTACGCTCGCCAGGCATGGCTCATTTTTACCCAAAGCTGGCCCGATGCATGAGCCAGGTGGCTCTCCCGACCAACCCGACCAACCACCGGTGTGTGCACACAGGAGCGGCAGCTCAAGCCCAGCCAAATGGACCGCCGGAGGGCAGGGCAGCGACCACGTGAACCTCCCCGCTGGCGGAGAAGGCGACGTGCTGGCCAAGGAGAAGGCCCGCCTGGAGAAGACCATGGCCAAGCTGCAACTCAACTGATACACAAACCAACCAACCAACAACAAAAATAATGATAATGGATTATGATTCCGTTTGGATCTGTCTGTCATCTGGGTGTCAGCTGTCGCTGGCTGGCGGGGCAGCAGCAGCGGGGGTGGAAGAGGCAGCGGCGGCGGCAGCGGCAGCCTTCCTCTCCTTTTTGCTCTCCTTCTTGTCGTCCTTGCCACTCTTCTTCTTCTTCTTCGTTTTCTTGGTGCTGGCCGCTGCGTCGTCGGTGGAGCCGAAGCGGGGCAGGGTGAGCGAGCCCAGGTACACCGTCGACCGCTTCTTGGTGCGCTCTCTCTTGACCTCCCACATGGCTGACCCTACGGCGCTGCCCTCGCCCCCGCCGCCACCGGAGGACTCCTCCTTCGAGGGATCCTCAGTGACGGGGGCGGTGCTGGGGCTGGTGGAGGGCGTGGTTTCCTCCCCCTCCTCCTCCTCCTTCTTCTTTTCCGAGCTCTCCTCTGCCCTACCCCGCGGCGTACGGGCGCTGAGGGCACCCGACGACCCCGAGGCCGTGTCCCTCCCTCGAAGCGCACTGGTGACCGCCAGCGTGCTGCCGCTCGCCCCTCCGATCACCACCGTGCCCGAAAGCCCTGCCCCGCCACACGCGACGCCCCCCCCAAATCAGTACCGGCCGCCACCACCAGCCACCACCACCTCCCACGATCACGGCATTAATTGTAGGCGCGCGCGCGCGCGTACCTCCGCTCTCGCTGTGCACCCGGTTCAGCTCGTGGAGGGCTGCCACCACGCTGGGACCCTTCTCCCCCGGCTTGGCGTTCCTGATCGTCTCGTGAATGCTCTCCTTCTTGTCCGCGTGGCTCAGCGCTGGTTTGAAAAGATACTCGCGTTGAGAGGCTCTGGCTTACACGATACACCACACACACTCCTTGGCGGCTGTGTGTGTCGTGTGTGTCGTGTGTCGAGTGCGCGCGCGAAGGCACGTACTTTTGGCCAGCTCGATCCCCTTGCTGATGTGGTCGAACCATTCCACCTTTTCCAGTTCTGAGGTGCAGCAGATGAGCGCCTTGTGCTTGCCGTCCTCGACGCCGAGGCACGCCTTCAGCTGCTTACCTGATGGCGGCCAGGCCCGTAGTAGGGGGGGGGGAAGAGAGAGGTGGTGGGCTGTGTGAGCCTCTCCCGCTCCTTATCCTTGTGTGTGTGTGTGTACCGCTCTCGACGGAACCATCCTTGACGTCGGACACGGCGGCGGTCTCGAAGAGCAGCTGGCAGACGAAGAGGAACTTCTTCTTGGTCTTCTTCTCCTTTCGGATGCGTTGTACGACGACCAGGGCGTCGGAGAACAGGTACACGTGGCGCTGCGCGAACTTCTCCCCATTCACGGAGACCTACACCAGCCACCAGCCACCACCACCACGACAACGAATGATACCACCACCACGACCACCACCACGACCACCACCACGACCACCACCACGACCACCACCAGCCACCACCAGCCACCACCAGCCACCACCAGCCACCACCATGACCACGCGTGGGTGAGTGGTGGGGCGGGGTGAAGAGGAAGGAGGAGGAAGGAGGTGTACCTGCATGTCGCCCTTGGCCGTGAGGGTGCGCCCCTTCTTGGCGATCAGGGGCACCATCGAATTCTACGGTGCCGACGACGACGGACCGAACGGCAGCAGCAGCAGCAGCAGCAGCAGCAGCAGCAGCAGCAGCGACCCACCACCACGACCCACGCAGAGTGTGTGTCAGGTGAGGCAGACCACATCTCTCTCTCGCTCTCTCTATCGCTCTCTCAAAATAAATAAATAAATAGATAGATATATACCACGAGGGACTGGGCGGGCCATTCGATGCGGGACTGGATTTTGATGATGCTCTGCAGGTTGTCCGAGATGCGCTTCTTCTCGTTGGCCCCGTTGATGATGGCGTTGATCTCCTCCTGGGCCTTCTTCAGGTCCTGATAATCCGCGTACGACTCGTCGCTGTACCCCAGCACCTCCTGCACCCCGACGACCACCACCACCCATAGCACATCACATCACATCACAGCACATCGTGACGATGAGAGTGACACAATGATAACGATGACGATGCATCAATGGCGATGCCGACGTGGCACCCAGGGGTGGTGGTGGTGGGTGGGTGGTAAGGCGGTGGGTACGCGCAGGAGGAGCGGGTATTTGGTGATGCGCTGGAAAGGCTTGATGAGGAAGGCGGCGAGGTCGAGCTTGCGGCACGCCTTGAGCTGCCGGGCCTTGTCGCAGAACTCGGCAAAGGGCGTGGCCTTGCCCTTCTTCTCGTCCTTGCCCAGCGCCCGGTCCAGCCACTCGGTGGAGATGTGCTGGTGCGTGCACACCTTCTCGTACACCTGCACGTTGGTTGGCCATCACCACACAAACGGATGATAAATGATGAGACATCCTTTTTTTATCATTCTTATCATTATTATTACTGGGCACGTGCCCAGTAGTAAGAATAAATAGTAGTTCCAAAAAAAAATATAGAAAATTTAAGAATTGGGTTTGGATGGGCGAGGAAATGGGTGGGTGGGGGGCAGTGTTGGCGGCGCGTGCGTACCTCGAAGGCCTTGGTCTGAGCCGGAGAAGGGCGCCCGCGGGGCGGATGGAGAGGGAGGGAAGGGGAGCACAAAAGGAGGAGGAGTGAGGACTACAACGCGGGCTGCTGCTGGTGGCTGGCTGGCTGGCTGGCTGGTGGTTGGTGGCTGCCTGGTGGTGGCTGGTGGCGGTAAAAAAGGGGGAAAGGTGTACGTGTTTGCGGAAGATCTTGCCGATGGGCGGGGGCACCTTGTTGGCCTGCCAGTTGCTCTCCATGTCGGGCAGGTCCCTTTGGTGGTGGTGGGTGGGTGGTGGT